AAATTAAGAAAACATAACAATAAAATTAATGGGCTAGGAAAATATATAATTAAATGGTACCATTCGTGGAATAGGTGTCATAGGAGTGCTAATCTTTCCCTGTGCGTAACTGTACTCCCGAACCCAACTGTAAAAAAAATACGTAGACCAGTTTAGGATTTCATCGAACTGAACAAATGCATTAGGTGGCCAATCACACTTAGGTTTAAAAAAGATTGTTGGTGACTCCCAAAGTACATTCTTGTCTAGCGTCGGGTTCTCGAACTTCGACACGTTACGACACTCTTAAGATATACGACCATTCCTTCTACTTGAACTAGTCTATGAGAACCAAAAAGTTCTTAAGAAGAAAAAAAATTCCAAAGATTCAATCTTGGAAAAAAAAAAAGGGCACATCTCAGGCAAAAAGTTATCCAAATGCTTCATCAATGGAAAATCAGGTTGTTATGCAAAATAATGTCCTAAAACAAATAAAAAGCCCATCAAAATGATGTAACAGATAGTGAGTACCTCAGGATACAATTTATTTGATGACGATTTGGAATCAGTCTTATCCCATACTCAAGATTCAAGCTCAAATTCAGATGAATCAATCGATTCGAGCTATTCTGATGATGAGTTGGAAGATACATCAATGAATTGCATGACGATCTAGGAATGTCTTGTAGCATAGAAGCTAATCTCTCCAGTAGCCCTTCTTCAAATATACATCGATGATGAATCACTTTTAATTCTACTTACAACCTTTTTTGACATAAGTGCAGCATAGACCATTGCAAACCAAGTTGTCTTACCCCTGTCACTGTGGAAAAATCAAAAGACCTATTTTAGAACAACCAATGAAAGTATGCTTACAACAGACTTCATTATTGAGCCAATTACCCCTAAGTTTTTCTCAAAAGCCGCAACAACTTAAAGGATATTAGGTTTATCCCTACTGTCCAAGGACTTAGTAATGGGATTTGATATTATTCTAGATAGCTAGGTCTTAAACTAAATGGTGAAGGTCTCAAATGCAAACAATTATTCTAACCATGAAGGCTCCTACCAAACCAGTTCACCATGACCTTGCACCTAGCCCAATTTGAAAGTATTAGACAGAAGTTGATCTTAACTTCTTGTGCATATAGTCATGTAGATTTCTCTTGAAATGTCTAAATCCATTATGGAAAAACCTAGAGTTCTTCATCACTCTATTGTTCAAAAAGATGATATGGGCAATCTAACTAAGGCCAGCCACACAGGCATGAACCCAGACTATTTCATGCTAGCAATTGAAGAGTGTACGCAACTCCAAGCCTAAAGACTAACTGAGCCCACAACCTCTTCATGGTCATGCGAAGCCATCTACGTCAACAAACGCTCAAAGCAAGTACATGACATGTTATGATTAGTCATCAATTACAAGCCATTGAACGTGTTCCTTGTAGATGACAAGTTCCCACTACCCAATAAGAAAACATTGTTTACGAATTTGTCCAATGCCAAGTTTTTCTCCAAGTTTGGCCTTAAAGCAAGATTTTGGCAAATTGGGATTAACCAGTCAAAGCAATATAAAACAACATTCTACATCCCACAACATCACTTTCAATAGACAGTAATGCCCTTCGAACTGAAGATAGCTCCATTTTTGTTCCAAAAAGCAATGACAAAGATATTCAACCTAATATTAGATAACTCGCTTATTTATATTAATGATATCTTACTGTCTTCTTTGGACGAGACAAGTCACAGATAGCTATTAGAAAGATTCCAAAGCAGCGTCCAACACTATGGGATAATGTTATATGAGAAAAAGATGACATTGTATGTTGTAGAAATCGACTTCCTCAATATGCACATAAAGGATGGAAAATATATTGTGCAGCCACACATTGGCCAAAAACTCCAATCCTTTCCAAATAAACTCACCAAAAAGCAAGTTCAAGAGTTCCTCAGAGTTGTTAACTACATAAGCGAATTCATCTCGAATCTTGCAACAATTACAAGTCCACTCAGATCACTGTTAAATAAAGACTCTCCAAAACAATGGACAAGGAAGCAAATGAAAGCAATACGGGTCCTTAAATCTTCGACTAAGTCACTTCTAGCACTGCAAATTCCTTCCCAAGGAAAAAAGATACTTTAGATTGGTGCAAGCAATCACTATTGGTTCGCAGTCCTACTTGAAGAATCCAATGAAAAGAGAAAGGTATATGGATATAAAAGTGGAAAATTCAAAAACTTAGAGATACACTACCACTCCATTTTTAAAGAAATTCTTACTGTCAAATATGGCATACAAAAGTTTAAGTTCCATCTAATAAGGCATCAATTCATTGTGTACTTAGATATATCAGCCTATAAGCACATGCTGAGTTTAAGAAAAAAAAAAAAGCCCCCCCAACGCACAATTACTACGCTAGGTACAATGGTTCTCACAATATTTTTCTCCTTCAAGCATATAAAAAGCAAAAACAATGTCCTCCCAGATATGCTAGCTTGACCAAGTCTCTTTACCCAAAATCCCTTTTTATTCAAACTACGTACTCCCAATCATTACAATGGTGAAACCCTTTTACCGACCATTCGGGGATGCTCTCTCTTCTTTAAACGTTCCTCAGCCCAACACCTTTTGCCCTTTATCCAAAAGATCTCCTAATCTTAAAAGAAAATATCCCCTTAGACGAACTCCCCATCAAAGCTACTCACCCTCATTATGACACATTCCCTCCACACCCATGCTTACCCAATATTGATGAAATATCATAGTCAAATAATCAAACCTTTTAGTGACAAGTTAATCCAACTCAGAATTCACCCCAGATATCCTTTTATCCACCCACTTCATTTTGGTACCAAGCACTGGATAACCTTCCCAAAAGAAATCGTTTGTTTCCTCTAATATTTTTGTCACTTGTATTATGTTGCTATATAATTTCCATTTAACTTTCTCATGAAAACTCTCAATAAATTTCATGAAACCATATACAAGCCTTAAAAACATATTTTCAACCCACACCATGACCACCTCAAATATTATCTTAATTGGTTCAATCCTATACCTATTTGGAAGGAATGGCTTACGACATACTAGAAGTTCCATAGGGATCATAAGTACATTAACATCATATTTCACAAGCCCTGCAATTATACAGATGCTATCCAATACTTCCCATATATAGCGATCCTCTTTAGTCAACCGTACTCCCTCCATAATGAAATCTACACTCATCCCTAAGAATATGCTAAGATACAAAGACAACTCTATGAGACGAACAGAGCAATTTTAATGAAAATCTGGCCCTAACTTCATGACCAATCCTGGAAGGAATATCTTGAAAGATACATCACTCAGTTACGGGTTGATAGACAAATCTATGAACACAAGCACAAAACCCAAACCATGAAACCATTAAACCCTGTCTTCAAGTTTAATTTGTCCAAGCTTAAGCCAATCCAATGGAACTCATATTGGCAAGCACTTGTGATTCAAAAGGCCCAACTAAAGGCCCAAGTCAGTGTCCATCAAACCTTAGACCCCTATGCCTAGGACTTTGAAAATGATCCGTATGACCAGGGTGATGATTTTGATCTAGAAGACTTCTTTATTAATGAACTATGCTTAAAACCAAGAATAACTAAGGCGTCCACTAGCAAGGGTGAAAAAGTATCTCCCGAAAAAGAAATGGAAGCAACAAATAGATCCCTCAAACAAATATTTGGCTACAACTTTTCTCCTGGTATAGACAATAGCCATCTTAATTTCCCATTTAATAGCCCATAAAAACCCCAAGAAATCCAAAGCCCAAAAGATCCAAAGTTTAATTCTTGTTCAAGTGTGCCAAGTCATCAATCAATAATTGCGTCAAGATGGGGTAAAAGGAATCTGATGCTTCCTTAAAACTAATACGATTTCAAATGAAGTGAAAAGGAATTAGATTCCCTTACTTTTGTCTTTATGCTTTATCTTTATGATTTTAGAAAAATGTGCCCTAAAAATGTAAAATATAATGTAACTTTAGTCTTGTCAAGTCATTATCACAAAGAGTAGTTAGTTTGTTGTTGTATGGTCTTTTAATGCCTAAATAAGACAACTCCTTCATTAAGAACGAGTGCACTTAAAGTTTTTCTTTGTAAAATAATGTGTGAAATAGAAACTATGTTCTTTTAAAAGTTTCTCTCTTTAGCTACTCTCTCCTTTTAGCTAATTTTTTAGTATAAATCCCCTACTCAAACCCAATAAGCAATGACATGAGTCATATGCTTTACAGTTGCCATTCCGATGGATCCTTTGCATCAGAAATCTCATGGATTTGTTTTATTGACCATCGTTTAGTGCCACTGTACAAAATTAATGCCGAAGGTTGGTACCTTGTGGGTCCGTTACTATAGCACGATGACATGGTTTGCATGGTCCACTTACCCTAAGCATATCATAAGGTTCACAAAGGTTCGAGGCTTGACTGAGCCCAAGTTAAGCCAAGAGGGCATGACTAGGCTACAACCACATCCGAGGCTATGCTTAATGCCTTCAATATGAGTGCTCCGATCCCGATGCTTAATGCTATGGATTATGGACTCCGCGCGAGTGCTCAGGCTCCCGACGTAGACATGAAAATTAAAATAATTTTCATTGATTTTTAATTTTTTACAAGTTATCTCATTTTACACTTAAACACAATACTGGAAAATGTATCTTGGACAAATTAGCAACACTCTAAAATAAAATAATGGATGATGCTTTTCAGTTCCACAAAATGTGATAGAAAGCGAGAAGGTAAAATTACATGAATATAATTATTTTTTAATTTAATTTGTCGAATGTCCAAGGATTTTTCATTTTTTGTTTTTACTTACCCTGCTTTCATTCATGGTTTGGACTATTATTTTTTCTTTATCAAATTATATATAATCCAATTTAAAATTTATAAAATTTCACATAATCAAACCCAAGCTCCACCTTAAATCCTAATGCAAATATCTTGCAACTTATAAAGGAGCCACTTCAATGAGATTAAGATTGCTCCACTACTCACATCCTTTGTGAAGCAACAGATGTGTCAATTGGATGGAAATAAATCATGATGATCTTTCCTTAAGATTACACATTTTTTATGTTTCTCCACCTAGTATTATTTCTAGTTTATTTGCAGACAAGTTAGGCATATCATTACCTAGGATGATATAACTTCGATTTTTCTCTCTGAATAATATCTATTTCCCTTAATAAAAAGAACCCTTAAAATAATTCCTTCTTATGTTTATATCCTATACATGCCAACAAAAGGCATGCCAATTGATCCAATCCATAAATTCCCATCCTTTTCATGCACTTCACTGATTTTGTTTCCATTTTTATCTTCAATCGTTTCTAAAATCTCACCATCCTCACTTAACCTCATTGCCAATCCACTCCCTCTGTACTTTGACAAAACTAAATAAGCTTTCGTAACGTCAATAGGCAGCCTAACCAAAGCATTTCCTAGTCGAGGAAATGAAAGAATCCAAGCTAAAATCTTGTCTCTTCTTGAATGCATGGCCACCCAAAATCCTCCTCTGGGGCTTCGTTTGATGTTGTCTGGGAATCCTGGGAGTTGTGCAAAAGTTTCCAAAGTTTCAGCCTTTGATGTTTTCAGCCAGTACCTTAGGATTCTGCACTTGGTGGTTTCAGCAAAGACAAGAAAGCTGCCATCGTTGCTTAATGCCACTCCATTGGGGAACGAAAGATTGTTTAAAATAACACGTACTTGCTTGCTTTCCTGTTCATATTTCATCAGCCTTCCCGTTTTATCCCCAGTTAGTATTATGGAGATATAATTCCTGCAAAACAGTACCACTTCAAAACAAGTTAATAGTTATAATTAAAACTAATAAAAAAGAAGTGAGAATTTGAAACATATATAAATTACGTGAAAGAAATGGGAAAAAGTCTTTTTAGATGTCCTCAAGGAAGATTAAGCAATAGTGCAATAGCATGTCCATTAATAAGTAAACACTCTATTATACCACACCAATTAAAACCAAAAAAAAAATTAAAATCGAGATTGGGATGATGTCCGCATTGAATATAATAATCTTATTTCCTTTGTTCTTCTAAAGACGTTGAAAAAAATCTTCTTGGTTCTTTATAGCATGGCTTTGCTTGTTCAAAGACTTAATTAGAACATTGAATATTGTTTAAGAAATGCTTTTAAAATTATATATCATAGATTCTCAACACCCCAATTTGTGTTGTGAAATGAAAAAGGAGTTGATTACTAACCAACCTTAGGTTCTAAACTTGCATGGCTAAATTAAAAATTGGAAGAAACTGTTTTATTTTCAATCACTAGTGGTTTCTTCATAACTTAAGTGGCTTATTTTGAAAAAGTTGTAACAAAGCATCAATAGCATTGAAGGAAAAAAAAATTTTGTTATAAATTTCTTTGGAAACTAGTTCATTTAGAATTTTATTTCGCAAACTTTTTGAGTAATTGAAAGTTCTGTTTACGCATTCCTCTACCATTTCTGGTTGGAAGAGTTTTATATAATTGTGTGAAGTAGCCATTAAGACATGCAAATAACAATTTCAATAATGATAAAGTTCTACAATGACCAATCATAATATTTTCTCCACATTAAATCAAGGTACTTGCATTTCCAAATATAATATAACCTCTAAGTTTGTTAGCTTGCATTGCAAATTTAATTTCTAAGAGTTTTTATCAATTTACTTTTATTCCATTTTAAAGATAGACAGATTCAATTATAGATTCCATAAGTCTGTGTCTCTTAGCTTACATTTTGATATATGTATGTTCTTTTTTCTTGAAAGTGTCATTTATGAATACCTAGACATTCAAAATTTGGACCAAAACATTTGTCATTGTTGATGTTATTTTTGGCATTTTTATTATGTCTTTTGTTTTTTCTTTCACTTCAAATACTCATTAAATTCAAACATGTAATCAATTCATTGATATGACAACCCAAGTTTTAGGTCAATAGCTTAAAAATTCTAGTAATTTCTCATAAGCAAAAGTTTCTATTCTATATTCAGTTTTTAAGGGAATCATTGAACTTGTTCAGTTTATAATTTGTTCAGTTATTTTTAAAATTTTGATTGATTCGATTGATTTTAATATAAAATTCGATTTAGAGCCTATTTGGCTTAGTTTTTTTTTTTAGCTTAAAAGCTATTATGAAGCTTTTATGAAATATAATATCTTTTAAAATTAAGTTAAAATTCTTTGGCAAAATAAATTATATAAACTCTAATTTTGATTAAAATGACCACAAAAGATATTTATGTCATTTCAATTACCTAATAAACCAAAACGGTACAAGTCTATTTCAAACTTATATATCATTTCAGATGTTAAAATACAAATTCATACAGAAATGGAACAACTCTTAAATTTTGTATAGTAGCAATAATATTCAATTTTTTTTGATTTAGCAAATAATCGGAAACGATGTACTTGTCATTAAAATCCTTGATCAAAAAGAGAGAAAACTTTTAAATAGTATATGAATGCAACTTTAAATTTTGGGTTTTCTTTTCTCTTAATCTTTGTAAGAACAAAAAAATCATAAATTTTACTATTCTGTTGCTTGGTCTTCTATCTTTGTTTCTATTTTTTTTCTAATAGTCTTTATTGAGAGAGGTAGAGGAGAAGGAAATCGCAGTTTGCGTTGGAGAAGAGTGATTTGTAGAGAGAATGAGAAGAAAAGATCTTTGTAAAAACATAAAAAAATCCCAAATTTTGCTATTTTGTTGCTAGATCTTCTATTTTTTTTTTTTTTAGTTTTCAAGTAGTCTTTGTAAAGAGAGATAGAGAAGGGAGATATTGCGATTTGCATTGAAAAAAGGGTCATTTGCAGAGGGAAGGAGAGGAAAAAGAGATCAATTAAGAGAGGGGTATTTCCTAAAAAACTAATGTGCTTTTAAATTGATCGATCGTTGCAACAACCTTTTCTAATAGGATAGTAAAAAATTAAACAAAATAACCTTACTTTTTCAAAATATATATCACAAAGTAAAGTTGTAACCTTAATTATATTAATCTAGTGTGACTTTTCTCAAAATATACCAAAATATTGTGACTTTCTACAAATGTAAACTCAATTGTCTCTATAAAAAAAAGACAAACAATTATAGGATCACTTGTATAAATAAATGTTAGCAAATAGCAAAAAAGCTTTTGTGAAGTTACCTCCTTTGATAAAGAGAACTGCTATCAGTGAAATAAATGGATCCATCGGATTGGTTGATGTCCAAACCATTGGTGAATAACAAAGGCGTCCCTCGAGCATGTGTTACAATGCTAGTTGCCAAGCCACCCTCAGGGCCAACTTTTAGTAGCCCCATGTAAGCATCGGCAATGTAAAGCTCATTAGTGACCTCATTGAAACAGATGCCAAGTGGACGCCCACAAATGTGCTCTGTTAGTTGGTGATCATGTTGCCCTTCACACCCTTTTCTGCTCAAAGAAGTCACTCATGTTAAAATTATCTATGACCTCCCTAATTTCTTTATTCGTTTAAATTTTTATTTTTTCCCTTTAGAAAAATTTTATAGTCTAATTTCATAAATAAATTTCACACATAAATTCTCAACGCCTAATGGTGATTTTTTTTGGCTGAATGCGATTGTGAGTATTTTTTTTTTCAATGACAAAAGAATTTCATAAATTGCTTAACATAATGGTGCCATTACAAAGCAAGGAATCCATAATGGTATCATATGCCTTCCCAAGAAATTAATCTACAACTTCAAAAAAGAGGTATCAACCCCTGTAAACTACACATTCGTAAGTAGCAGTATGTTGCACAAACAACATAAATAAATGTCATCTTGAAACCTTGGCCTAAGAACAAATAATACAACAGCATCTCCTAACAACCAATCACAGCTTAGCTTACAATTGAAACCAGAAAGACAACAACTTCAAACAACCAATTGCCGCTAAGCTTACAATAGAAGTGGCCAAAAACATACAACAGGAAATCATAGTTTTCCTAACAAAAACTCAATCCAATCAGAGAGGATCCATGAACCAATAATTGGGAAGGGAGAGATAACATTAGCAATACAATCCAACATATAGGAAAATTGACAAGCATTAAAAGATGGATGAAAAGTACCCTTGCCTACTGACCTCAGCTTTAGTAAGCTCGTCAATTATATGGTTGGCTTCTCTGCTAATATGGGTGAAGGTGACCAGCCTAATGTCTGCTTTAAAGACCTCAATACTATTGTAAATATTCCTCATGCACCAGGGGATAGGGCTAAAGTTCAAAACCCAGCTAATAGGGTTCTTGGAATCACTTTCAACGATGAAAGAATAGGAAGCCCATGGTGACGAAAGGAACAAAGAAAGGCCTTCTTTAATAGCAAGGAACTCAACATAGTTGGAGTCCTTTATGCTTATGGGAAAGGAGAAGACTTCTTTAATGAGACCTTCATAATCTCTAATAGCACCTCTTATTTTAATAGGGCTTAGCTTACCAAGGGCAGAACGGTTGATGTTAAGCTATAGGAACCTAGAGAAGGCCTTTTCCATTCAGTTTTATGCTTTAACTTACACTTCCCTATTTTATAAGTGATTTTGCTTGGTTCCAAAAGGAAATGAGAAGCAAGGATATGGCTTACAAGCCACTTCCCTTTGCACCAATGAGCCAATCTCATGAGAATAATGTTCAGAAGCTAATCAAAGTCAAGATGCTTGCTTAGGAAGAGAATTTCATTTCTATTGCCATATAAACCAGATGGTGAAAAAAAAAAGCATTTTCCAAATGTTTGAAGAATGCCGGTGAGGATTACCATGTTGCCAAGCTGTGGAAAAGGAGGTGGCTTCACTTGGATGGACCCAATTCAGACTCTAAAGACTACAATTGTTCATCTAAAGCTCTCAAGAAATAAAGCAAATGAAAAAAAAAAAAAAGATGATTGGAGGTCTCGGGCTCAACACCACATGGGGCACATTCAACGGCATTAGAGTCAAGAATTCCCCTTTTAAAGAGCTTGTGCTTGATGAAAATTTACCCAAAAGGACTTGCCACATGAAGACCTTGACTTTAGGAAAGGCGAGTCTAGTCCATAACTGTTTCCAAACTACTTGTGATTCCCATGTGTCATGCTGGTGAGTCTTGATGAATAAGGATAGAATGTATCACCATTAAGAGATTTTTTCCAACTAGCTTTGTCGGTGTCAAAAAAGTGCAGTTATATATTGTTGATAGTGCCTATGAAATTATTCTATTGTGGCCGTTCCCAACTAAAAGGATTAAGCCTTACTTTTGATACACCATTTTCGATGATTGGCATCCTATGAACAAAAATCAACAACCACACTTGTTTTATTGGTGGCTAAGACATAGAGTTTTAGGGATCTATAATGAATATAGTGTTTGTTTCCAAGAAGATAGTCCAGACTAGTGGTTATTGTGTTATGGAAAGCGTTAAAAGGATAGAGAGGGCAGACAACGTTCCTCCATAAAAATGATGTTTTATCTAAAAGGGCTGTTAGAAAGAGGATTTAAGGATTCATATCATTTTTAGCAGACACCACATTTCTACATAGGTTTTAAGGCTGGTTTGCAAAGCGCTAGAGCCATTTATTGTGGAGAGATCAATTTTTAAACCCCCAAAATCTTTGGCTTTGGTGACGAAGGACCAATTAACATGGTGCATTTTTTTTTTGTCTTTGCATCTAGACCAGAAAAAACCTGAATTTTCTCTAGCTTATTCTTGGCTTCCACTGGACTATTAAAAATGGAATAGATAGTATAGTGAAAGGCTCTCTATAATTGATCTTATGAGGATAAGTCTTCCACTCATTAAGAGAAAGTGCCTTTCCTAACCAACCAACCTTGAATGGCAGTGTTCCATAACTAGTTGCCACAGAGATAAAGAGCTGGCAACTATACCCAAGGGAAGGCCAAGGTAGCCAGCAGTAAGATTGTCGATCTTAAAACTCAAATAAGTGAATCATGACTAAAGATCATGATGTGGGACGTTGAAGCCAAGAAAGCTACTTTTAGCAAAGTTGATTTTGAGTCTAAAAATGGCTTGAAAACCCTTAAAAATTTTGTTCACATTTTTAAGATGTTTAATATCATATGGGTGTAAAGCCAGTGTGAATACTTAAGCTTTCAAAGATATTTAAGGAGCTCGCCTTGCGGCACCAAAAGCTTAAAGATTTCACAACAATATTACAGAGCATGGGAGAGAGGGGACAACCTTGACTTAAACTCCTTTGCATGTGAAATTGTGATGTGGCGAAACCATTAAAGAGAATTAGAATGGAGGTTATGGATATGCAGTGATAGATCCATTCACACCATCTATTGTAAAACCCATAAGCTTCATTATAAAGATAAGGAAATCCCAATCAATGTAATTGAAAGCCTGTTCGAAGTTAACCTTGAAAAAAATATCACTTTGTCTATTTTTCTTAATAGAGTCGATACGTTCATTAGCGATGAGAAAGCTATCAAGAATCTATCTTTCGGTGACAAAACCAACTGTCTCCTTAATGACAGTGCTTGTGATTGTTTTTAAGTCTATTGGCAAGGACTTTTGCCAATATTTTATAGGTACTGCTCACCAAGTTGATGAATCTGAGTTGGGATAAGGTCGTGGCTCCCTTAGGACTAAAGTGATGAAGGAGGAATTTATATTCCTATTGAAAACACCATTAGTGTAAAAGTGATTAAAAAAAGACATGACGTTACCTTTGATAGTTGGCCAAATTTTTTTTGTAGAAGTTAATGTTGAAGCCATCAGGGCTAGGGGCTTTGTTCCATCATAGTCCTAAACGACATTCATATTTTCTCTTCAGAAATTGGGATTTCCAAGGTAGCTTTCTAAAAGTCACTAATATTCGAAAACGAGCAATAAAAGCCTTGAGTTTTAAGATAGGGCCTTTAGTTTAAGGCACCTTAAAGTGATTGACCCTTTCAACTTGGATGTCTTTTGGTTTTTCAAGATTCAAACCATTAGCTACGATTTGGCGAGTACGATTTTTTTTCATCCTCAATTGGAAGCGATCAAGTGGAAAAATTTAGAATTTTGGTCATCATGTTGAGCCAGTTTAAGTTTGAAGTTTTTAAACCATGCTCTTTCTTCTCTTCTGTAAATATCCCATAGCTTGGAGCGTGAGTTGGCAAAGGAGGTTTTTTCCTATGTGAAAAATGGCCTTGTTTCAACTTCCTTCTTAATTTTGTTGATTTCATGTTCAACAAAAGAGATTTGGCTTGTGTCTTGGCTATGCTGGTCGAACTTTCACTGTTTTACTACAAATTTGAGGGCTTTCAGCTGACCAAAAAAACATGTTCTTATGTTGTTGCTATTAGAGATATCAAGCTAGGCCGCTTTAACAAGGGATGAGAACTTTTTTTCTTCTAGCCAATGAAAGAAGAGTCTAAATAATGTTGGTCCCCATGAAGTTTTATTAATTTCAAGTCTAACTAGACTGTGGTCGAAGAATAACCTTGGATTGCATTTTTGGATAATTGATGAACATAATAGAAGAAGCTTGCTACTTATAAGGAATTTATCCAAATAACACTTGATTGGAGAGTCTCTATAATCAGACAATGTATACAAACCACCCATCATTGGAAGGTCCGAGAGGTGCACATCGTTGATGAAGGATGCAAAATATTGCATTCCTTGTATTCCCTAATTACCTTTCAATTTTTCATCAAGAGATTTGATGATGTTAAAATCGCCTCCCATAGACCAAGGAATTTGTTAGGTGTTTCTCAAATTAATCAACTCAGACCATAGAGTTTCATTCTCAATAACACAGTTAGGCACATAAATACTAACAAAGGTACATTGAATATTAAAGGGTATAATTAAGTCAATAAAGAGGATGTACTTTTGAGACACCACAGAATGCTCCAATTTGAAGAAATTGCTAGACCATTCGCAAATTAAATCGCCAGCAAAGCCTATAGAGGGAACCCAATGGCTACTAAAGTACCCAATTTTCCAAAATGATTTAAGAAGTCTACTGTTCACATTTTGTTGTCTCCATGCATATTGGGAATAACTTGGGTTGTGGGCAGGCTGCTTTCTTGACTTTTGACTCATTAGATAGAAGGTTCACTGCTCGGTACAGTCTGACTTGGGCTATCCCATCTTCCAAATTGAGTGGGATTCTTGCCTTGATCAGATGAGGAATAAATAATGCCGATCGTGGGTTTAGGTGTGAGGCGGTGGATGGTTTCAAGCGAAGGAAGGGTGGGGGTTGTAGTGGTCCTGGCAATAGTACGGTAGTGTGGTATCATTTATTAGCTTTATTGTTACTATCAAGTGATAGTTTCTTCCATTGATCTTATTAATGGCAATGGGTGGGATAATATGTCTTTTTTTAATGAGAATAGGAGTCTTGAACCACTCAGTCTCTTTCTCTTCATCGTATTATCATTCACTGAGATGAAGGAATCATACATACATATATGCATATATTTATTCGACTTTTTCGAAAGTAATGTTCGACCACAAGTTTAAGGGGAGGTTTTCGACCCTTAGCCGTATGAAGTGTTCTTCAGTAGCAATGTGTTCTTCCTATGGAAAAATTTTTGTGAACCATAACTCAAATCATACTTTGTAGTTCCTTATATAGGCTTTTAAATCTTATAGAGGGCAGAAAGTGACTAGAACAATATTACCCACCATGGGTCTAATTGCTTATTAAGACCTTTTGGAGAAAAATATCTATTACAAGGTTCAGTGGTTAACGTAGTTGATGAAGATACCAACAACACTTCTTTTGAGCCAACCTGAGTTTTCAACAGTTGCCTCGATGACATGGTAAGATTGTGGTTGTATGTTGTTTGTGGTTTGAACTAAAGGAAGGTTGGGTTTGCCTTTGAGAACTTCTTTGTAAGTTCTTTCGTCCCTAAGGGACCTTGGTAGGGCTTTGATTAGGGACCTGGCCTTTGGGTAAATGGTGCTACGTATTGGGTTAAGTGGCTTGCTAGTGAGATCTGTTTTCCTTCGATCCCGCCGAATGCAGCTTTTTTCACTGATATGGGGAAGCCATAAAGGATTGTGCCATTCCTTTATTGGATGGCGTTAGGCATTACCCATGTCTCTTTATAGTGAACATAGACGAAGGTTTTTAGTGAGTCATTGTATAACTTGTTGGAGATGAAAACATCTCTCCTTGGTCGAAGCAGTTGAAGGCTTCCTTGAGTGTGGTTTTGGAGACCCTTGGGATTAAGTTTCCAATGTAGAAGGACAGTAAGGTGGGAAGCCAATCGTTTTCATGGGAGTTGTATTAGGTATTTGGGAATTGGTTAAAAGGTTTTGGAGGCTATTGGAGCAGTGGTTAATGGTCCCAATGAATGAGGTAAGGGTGGGGTAAGGTAGTGCTACTGTGGGGATAGGTGTTTGGCTAGCAGTAATGGGGGTAGGTCTTAGACGAAGGGTCATGGGTGTTTTTTTGCTGAGTGTGAAAGGCTTAACATTTTGGGCAAAAAATAAATTCTATAAAATTGTTAGTTTTAACTAATAACAAAATCAATCCTAAGCCCAAAAAAAAAATTATAATATTATTATTTGTATTACTTTATAAGTTACTTACATGAAATTTATGATGAGTGAAGGTTCTCCTCCATAAAAAAGTTTAAAATAAGAAAAAAGAAGATAATGTCTACTATCTTGAGCTAATTACACTCATCATATTTATAATTTTAAATGTTAAATTTTATCCTTAAACTTCTAATTCCTACATAAAAAAAGTGTTAAACTTTATATATAATTAATTTATAAATCAAGAGTTACTGTAATATACAACTCTCCAAATGAGTAAGATTCTTTTTATTTATTTTGTAGATTCGAAAGGAGAGACACTAATTTCTATATAACGAATCCCTAGTCTCACTCATCATAGGATTTAGGTTTTTCTACGCAAGCTTACACTATTAAGTCCACATATAACATTGAAGTCTAGCTAACAATCTCCCACTTAACTTAGCCTAATTTAGATAAAAGGTAAAAAATATATTAAAAAAATATAAGTTCACACTTTAATTACTCGAGAAAATCTAAAAATTTCCCACTTGAACTATAATATTTAAATTTAAATTTTGAAAATAAATTTTCTTAAAACTAAATTCAATGCTAAAACAATTGAAAATTTTACAGGTTAGATTTTAAAAAATTGGTTTGAGTCTACTCCAAACACCATTTGTACAATAAAATTTGTGATATAGAAAAATAATAGTAACTACATCTACAAAGATATAACGCTAATTATAATCACATATATCACCCAATCCTATCAACATGAACTCGACATGGTACTGTAGTAATGAACAAAAACACTTTGTTGATGATCTATTTCCTATTCATTTGTTGTATTCATTTGCTAGTCATGTTATAATTTATTTAGATAACTCAAGCTTGTAAGAAAAATACTTTATTCAAGAAACCTGAATGTCTACCTTACATATCTCTAGATATATTTTATATGTCAAAGACATACCCTTAAGGCTATGAATTTATGCCCTTTCCTATGCTTAAGACTAACACATGTCCTTAAGTCTTCACATATTCAAAAATGCATACACACACGAACAACACTTTATGATTAAATATCACTAAATAACCATTATTAAAAATAAATCCAGTTGAATCAGCAAGGATACATTCCAAACAAAATTAAGCACAAAGCATAAAACAATGTCAAATCCTCTCATTAACCAAGTACATCAAGAGACTCCACAATAACCGTGTCATGAACCTGTTTCTTAAACGTGACAAGGGTAGTCCCTTGGTCAAGGATCAACTATCATGTCATCACTTATAATATGCTTTATTGAAATTTCACCCTTTTCCACAAATTTTTTAACTTTCAAAATATTTTATCCCCATATGTTTAGCCCATATGATACTTTATTCTTGTTAGTGAATAAAACTACTACAACGTTACCACAATACAACTATGTAGGCCTACCAATTTAGTTAACTGCTGACAACTCTTTAATGAGATTTGTTAAGTAGATAACTTGTGTAGTTGTTCTAAGTGTGCTATAAATTCTACTTACATAATAGATGAGATCAGAAGTGTTTGTTTTATACTTTTCAAGATATGACACAACTTCCCAACATAAAAAAAAATGTACGGTAATGTGAACTTCTTATTATCTAAATAGCGACCAAAATAAGAATTTGTACATATTAAGTCTTGAACCTTTTGATAAACTAGCATATAATTCTTAGTCCTCTTCAAATATCTAATCATTTTCTTTATAGTTTACTAATGATCTCCATCAGGATTAGACAAATATCTTTCCTAAAGACTAACTACGGAAGCAATGTTATGTCTCCTACACACTTCAACATGCATCGGGCTTCTTACTGCACTACTGTATGGCACTACTTTCATAAATTCCATCTCAACATCATTTAGGACATGGTGCCAAGTTCAATTTATCACCTTTAACACCTGAATGGAAAATTTATCGAACACATGATATCGATGTATGTATGCAGATTGAGAGAGCTTCAACAAATGACAAGATCTATTTATATGGATTTCTACCCCAAGGACATAGGATGCTTCCCTTAGAAAAAAAAAACTTCCTAGAAAATAAATTCTCAATCTTTTGTAGTATGCCTAAGCCATTACTAGCAAGTTAGATATTATTAACATACAAAATAAGATAGATATATTTGTTTTCACTGATCTTGAGATATATGCATTAGTCTACCTTGTCCTCAACAAAACCAAAAAAAGTGATCACTACACACAAGATGAACTTTACAGTTTTGGCTCCTCGTTGGGACCATAATATTTTCCCTTGATATGGGATTCATGGCTCCCTACTAAGACAATGACATTGTGCACGATGTGGGATTAATGGCTCTTCATTCGGACCGTGACATCCTCACCCCCTCCAACAAGAACCCACTGTCCTTAATGGCACATCACTAGTACCCCTAGAACCTACTTTGATACCAATTGTTACGGTCCCAATGGAGAGCTGTGAATCCCATATCAAAATGGTTGTACGCTCCCAAGGGGAGCCATGAGGATATCACACGCCCAGTAGGAGCCATGAATCCCACATCAAGGGAGGATGTCATGGTTCCAACGGAGAGCCATGAATCTCATATCGATTGTGTTTTAGATTAAAACTGGACATTTAAGGTTCACACCATCTTCAACCTGTGAGATGCTTTTTGTGGTACAAAACCACGAAGCTAGTGGGCCAAAGTGGATAATATTTTACAGGCTGGTATGAATCGTGACAAATCTACTTTATTTGATCATATTATGAGTTATAATATTATTATTGCTTGATTTAGATGCAAAGTAAAAGTAAATTAAATAATGTAAACTCAAACTTTTTTTTAAAAAAAAAGTCAAAGATGGTGTATATTAACTTTCATGGAAGGTACAAAATGCTGTTATAAGTCTCCAGCTTTAGGCCTAGGTAGAAGACTTGTTACAGCAAGGCAACCTTATCAACAGCTCACACTATAGTTTTAATAATGTAAACTCAGACTTTGATTATTTTAAAAAATCTAACAAAAAGAACTCTATTTATCAATTTAAAGGCTAATTTTTTTGTGAACTTTCCCTTTAAAAGTTACACTATAGCGAATTATATATGTCTATCGGCCGGTGAATCAACAACTTTTTAATTGTTAAATCGAGGGAAGAATTCTTTTGAATACAAATTGAAAGTTTAAGAAATTTCTTTTAATATTTCAAATATTCAGGATGAATATGATATTCGAGTGATGCAAATTAACCAAGAAACACTACACACATACGAGTGAAGAAGGTGTGTTTTTGGACAAATTAAGATAAATGGAATGACTGCCTACAAGCCACACATGCTGGGCGTATTAGACATCTCTAAGCAAAGTCTTGTGACTGAAGAAAGATGTGCGTTCCCAATCAATTTGGCTGCAAGCAAACTTACAAGATTTATTTTATAATTTTCATTGTTGGATAAGGGCCAAGCCAAGGAAACACAGATGCCACACGTAATATGAGTACAATACAATACAACTAACACGACACGGTAATGTTTGAGAATTAATATTTGATGCACTAATAGTATATAATTTTTAAATATAGTTAGGTAATCAAATCCTAACACTTTTTTTGAAAGAAATAAAATGTTGATAAGGTCTCAAAACGGCATTAAGTTTTAATATCGACCTTTTATTCATTTCAAAATAATACTTCATTGATGAAGTGTCAAAATTTAATAACTTAATAATATATAAAAGCTATATACTGTCAATATATCAAATATTTTCTTATGTTTAAAATAAGATACCACATGATATGATATAATAATATATAAATACCTACGCTTTAACGCTCAATTGACAAATAAACAAAACAACTTAGTTAATTTGGGTTGCCCATCACACAATATACGTTGCAGATACGTACCTCAATAGGGAAGTGATTGCGAAACTGATCCACCGCTGTTCATTTTCTTGCCACCTGATGATCCGACCATCTGATACTCCCGCATAGGGACCCTCACCAAGGAGGTCAAATGCCATACTTTCAGGTCCCACCGCACCCATAATTGGGACAACTTCCAGTTGCCGATGTTTGCCGCTGGAAGGTTTTTGTATGACGGATTTCTCGAAGAACAGCGTGATATGATTGACGGCTATGAGTGCATACAAGAGAACTGTTACTGCTAATGTGAAGAAGAGTTTGGAAGTCATGCTTATGGAGAATAAAAGAGTTTCTGTTGAAATAAGTTTGAAGGGAAATGGAAGAATTGCTACGAGGTGCTGTGAGCAAAGGCAACGCAAAGGAAATGAATGTGTGCGTTACATTTTATGGTAGAATTCTAGAAGATTGATTGATGGTTGCCCAGATGCTTTCATGCCCTCGTGGCATGTTTTGTTCAGATGTGGAAATGGTCCTTATTAGATAATGACCTTTTCCCTTTGGCCAAATAACGCAAAACAAAAGAAAATCTTGTTTCATAGTTCGGTACTTGTTTTCTTTCAAGACTTCATTTTATCAGGGTTTAAAAGAACCAAGCCCATGTAATACCTTTGTGAGCAAGACTTAAGTTTGCTTTCTTAATTAGATTAAATTTTTAGGATTCTTTGTTAAAATTGATCGATTAAAAACTAAACTTTGAAATTCCAAATCCATACAATAAAAGAAATCGTTACATAGACAAGTCACAAATTTTGAGATAATTGGAATGTGTTTTGATAATTTATTTTAATAGTATTTTTATTGAGACTTTTTGACAAAATTTTCACCTTTCAATAAATGTCAACCGCTTTTTGGCAAATTCTGTTGTAAGGTCATTATTTTTTACCTTACTGTAAGATCAATTAATAAAGACCATCCAATTTATGAGATTAAATTACAGCCATTAATTCAAAACCCATAACAAAATTGGTAAACAAATTCAACCAGTAAACAAAAAATCCTCCCTTTGAATGACTCTCTTTTTAGGCCTTATTAAGAAAAACCGTTTATTTGCACTGTTTTTATTCAAAGGTTGAAATTTCATATTATAAATAGGTTTGTCACTACAATAAATCATAAAGTCAAAATTAAAAAGTACAATAACAAAAATAAAAACACGTATAATTTAAAGATATCATTAAAAAACCTAAACAAAAAGTTTTTAAAAGTTATAATTAAAAATCCTTAACGTAAAGCAATAAGAATTGACATAAAAACTCGTAAAGGTAGAATAACTAAATTTAAAATCTTAGCATAAATATGTGAGAGTTAACATAACAAGTCAATTAAAAAAATTTAATTTTAATAAAAATAAATATTTAAATTTGTATTCTCAGGCTAAAAGTGTTTAACGATATAAAAATTTTAATTTTTAAACAAAAAATAATAAGGATAAAAATAATTATGCTTCAAAATTGACATAGCAAATTATTGACGTAAAACTGTAAGAATTAACGTAAAAACTTATAAAAATGAAATAATTAAATTTTAAATCTTAACGTAAATGTATGAGAGTTAACGTAAAAAGTAATTTAAATAAAAAAATCAAATTTTAGTAAAAAACAAACATTTAAATTTATATTCTTGGACTTAAAGTATTTAATGATATACAAATACTAATTTTTAAAGAAAGAAAAATAAGAATAAAAATAATTATAGTTCAAAATTGACATAAGAAAGCTTTGCCATAAAAACTTATAAAGGAGGAATAAACCAATTTTAAATCTTAACATAAATGTCTGAGGGTTAACGTTACAAGTTAATTAAATAAAAAAATCTAATTTTAATGAAAAAAATTTAAGTTTATATTTTCTGGTTAAAAGTATTTAACGATATACAAATTTTAACTTTTAAATAAAGAATAATAAGGATAAAAATAATTATAGTTCAAAATTGATATAGAAAAGTTTAGATATAAAACTATAAGAAATGACGTAAAAACTTAGAAAGGTGAAAAAATTAAATTCTAAATCTTAACATAACATAACATAACAAATCAATTAAGGGAAAAAAAGTAATTTCAATGAAAAATAAATATTTAAATTTATATTCTCGGGCTAAAAATGTATAACGATACAAAAATTTTAATTTTTAAATAAAGAATAATAAGGACAAAAATAATTATAGTTCAAAATTGACATAGAAAAGTCTTGACGTAAAACTATAAGAATTGACGTAAAAACTTATAAAGGTAGAATAAACGAATATTAAATATTAACGTAAATATGTGAGAATTAACATTACAAGTCAATTAAATAAACGAAATCTAATTTTAATGAAAAAAAATATTCAAATTTATATTCTCGGGTTAAAGTGTTTAACGATATATAAATTTTAATTTTTAAATAAAGAATAATAAGGATAAAAATAATTATAATTCAAAATTGACGTAGAAAAATCTTGACATAAAATTGTAAGAATAAACGTAAAAATTTAAAAAAGAAAAATAACTAAATTTTAAATTTTAACGTAAATGTGTGTTCAAATTTGTGGTTTTAAACTTATGAATTTGTGTCTCTAATTTTCAGCGTATCATTTCTATATAAATGTTAAGTTTTGGTTTTCCAACACCAAGCCCACTTCACCAATCTAAAGCAACCTCAAATTTAAGTAGTTAGTTTAAAGGGTTTGTGAATTAGACCAAAATTTTAAGTTAAATGTTAGGTTAGAATGTAATTTAGCTAGTGTATATTTATTGGAATTATTATTTTCAAATTTTGAAGATATATTTGAGGTTACTATTAGTTATTGGTAATTATAGGTTCTATTAATTTTGTAAGGTGGCATAAAAAAAGTCAGTGAACTTGCATCCAAATGTTTTGATGAAATACATATAATGTTTAAAAAATATGCATGAGAACAAGCTCTTAATGTTTGATATGCTTATGTTGTGAAATGAATAGTGTGAATGATTTACGTGAAGAACTTCAATATGATGTATAGTTAAGAGAATTATGGTATGCAATATGATGAAAACCTTGAATAGGTGTAATTAGTGGCATGGTTGTTGAAGTTACCTTCCTTGTGATTTGGATTATGAACACAATGCAAATGGTTGAAAATGATTTATATGAAAGTGCTAATATGAAAAGACTTTTGTTTAAACCTTGTTATGTATATAATGGCTAACGAGATGTGGCAAAATGACTTAATTAAATTATCAGTGGTGATAGCCATGTGTAGTGTGAGAGAGCACATGACATGATAGCCATGTGTGGTGTGGGAGAGCACATGAATTTGGTTAAGGTGAATGGCTAAATGCATTGGACCATAATTGTGGTGGAGTTTAGTTACTCAAGTAACATCCTAGATAAAGAAGGGGAAAAAACCACTCTCGGAAATAAGCTTAGTATTCCTTAAGCATGTTTCACCACATATTATGTTTATGATTTTATGAAATGAATTCTTAGAACAACCTTATATTTGTAAAGTTGAATGAGCTTTAAAATATCTTTATGAGATGTACATTGTGAAACAAAGATATTTGAAAAGTGTCTTGTAATTGGATTTCGTTGTTTAAAGTTGGAATTATTTGAAAATGTTCAACTGCTTTGGAATCTGCAAGATTTGGAGGAAGTTTCAATACTTTTGAATGAGGTATGATACTTGTTCATCAACTTTGTTTTTAAAAAATGGTTCTGGAACAAAAATATCGATACTTCCAAAAAAAGTATAAATACTTTCAAAACAGAATAGGGGAATTTTATAATGTAAGTATTGATACTTATAGTATAAGTATTGATGCCTATAGTCTATTTTCAAAAAAATAAGTGAATTTCTAACTTGTTTTTTATTTCAGTTTTGTTTAGCTGCTCTTCAAAGTATAGAATCATTTTTTGTGCATATTTTTATAAACAATTATTTATGAAGAATAAATAGCAAAATAATTTTTTCATATTTTTTAACATATTTTTTATCCAAAACCAGCCACCTCTTATTTAATACTTTTTGTTGTAGTGTTGGATGTGGACGAGACAAACATGGCTGAAGATCTAAAATCACTCTTGTGAGATCACTTTTTGTTGTTTGATAAATACCATCTTGCTTTTATGATTTTGTTCAAAAAATTAACACTACATATTTGGAAATGGCTTGTACAAGCCAAAGTCCGCCTTATTTTTTAGACAACATAATGTTAAATTGTTCATTACTAAGTGTAAAACAACTTTTTATAAAGTTGTGATGAATTAGCTTTGTACATACGTAAAATATTATCTGGCAGGATGATATGCAATGACAGCATTCATAATATTATCACAGTAAAGTCTAGTCTAACATGCTTCCTAATTGCTTCATAATCAAATGGCTTTATTTGCATAAGACCACTTGGTTCTTTTTATTTCTTCACTTTAACCATTTTTCTATTTTGATTAATTGACTCAAACCACTATTGAAAGCTAATAGATAATAGAAATGTGCTTTGACAATATTAACAATTACTGTTATTTCTCATAAAATGTTGTTAACATTACTAATAACATTTATCCATACATTGTTGTTAATAATTACTTTGTTACTCAATTCATGGATGAAATATACTATCAATTATTTAACTACTCAGAATAATCTTCAAATGATATGTTAATTAATAGCTCTTACAACAAAGAGTGCGTCAATAACTAGTTTAGTTATTATGCTTTGATAGTAAGCTCACAACAACAACATAATCTCAACATAAAACAAACACCCTACAACAGCAAAATATTCTTAATTATTTTTGAATGGCTAACAACAATAGCATAATCTCAACACTTTCCAAACACCTCACGATAACAATTGATAACAGCATAACCAGAACACGGCCAAAATCCAAAAGGAATACCAATTGTCGACAAAAAGATTAGTTACAAGATGTGATATTTAGGGCTTTCTTCTTAATTAGTCTATTAGATGAAGCTACTTGTAACACAACAACCAAAACGAGGTGAATTAGTTTTGAACTAAAAATTTCACCTTTCCCTCAGATTTAGTTAAAACTTGAAGCTTTAAACACTAAACCAAATCAACAACACATATAAATGCAAGTAAATAAAATCAAAGCAAGTAATGATGGAAAGAAAAGAGAGAAAAGCACTCATCTACAATTTTTATAAAGGTTATACCTTATTATGCCTACGTCTTCTCCCTTGATATCAAAAGGAGTTTGAATCCATTAAAGATGTTGCTTTTCTCAACTAGCTTCAGGCATAACCTTTACAACAAAGCACCTTTTTAAGATCAAGCATAATTTATCACAAATCACTACCTTTTCAAGGTTAAAGCACAACCTCTATATCATTTTCAATATAGGTATAATCAAGCTTACTTT